CCCACTGATGACCCGTTTGTCTTTCCATGTCTCGCTGCTTGCAGTGCCGTCTGGCGATGTTGCCGAGCCAGGCACCTTCGTGTCGTCCATCTGGTCGGTCCTCGAGGTCGCACTTATCGCACAGCTGACGGTGGTCTTGCTCGAGCGGTCCCATCTGGGGGAACTCAAGCAAGCCGTGCAGCGGCGCTTCGGGCCTGCTCATGTCTTCGGGACTATGAGATAGATGCGGAGGACCGCTTCGTCCTCACGGCCCATGCTATGAAAAAGGTGAGCCTTGGATCGTATCGACACAGAAAGCACCAAGGCACCATGCTTTCTTTGTGTCAAGGTCTGTCAAGGGACAATCACACGGCGCTGATTCCGCCTGTCGAGACCACCATCCGTGCGTTGCTGAGGGCCGGGGCAGACATCAGCCGCATGCCCGCAGACACCGCACCGCAGCGCCGTCATCGCGAGCTAGTGCTTCCCCAATATACGCAGGTGCTGAGCGGCCTGCGCACGTTGGTGATGGTGGCGGTCAATGCGGCGCTGCGGCCTCAGCGCAGCCTTGCGGCCTTTCTGATGAAGTCCCTCCCTACGCTCCACCCCCACCTGCTGCATCCCTCTGGCACTGCCCCTCTGGCCAGCCTGTTCCCCGCTCCCGGCTCCCATAATGTCACTGAGAGCGGCTCGCTTCGCTCGCCGCCTACAGTGAGATTCCGTCTAACCTCTGAGTGTCTACTCACCTGACGAGCAGGGCCTGCGAGCCGCATGTGTCTTCGAGGAAGAGCAATCTACAGCAGCCGAGATACATATGCATACATATATGTATACACCTGTACATAACAATGCGTGTGACGTGTATGTATATATATATATATATATATGTGTGTGTGTGTATGCATGCAGGTAGCGCGGAGCAGTGCCGTTGAGAAGGTAAGAGAAGCGATAATACCCGCTTTCAGAAGACAGAACGGGGGGATGGGTGTGTGTGAATTCGTGCTCTTTATGTATGTACGCGTATGTGTGTGGCGCGCTCGGCACTACATGCCCTTGTCTGTACATTTATCTCTGTATTTGTCCACGTAATCGGACACTGAGTGCAAGTAAGAATGAAATATCCTACTGCCCATCTACCCCATCATTCTGTCCATCCAACTCAAAGTCATCGCAAACTTTCTGTCCATCCGTCATATTCATCCATCTGCCTGCCTTTCTGTCCATCAGCCTGTCCATCTGCAATGCACACATGCCAAAAGCTGTCGGAATAGGTGGGAGAGAGTCGGTGAGAATGGTGAAGAGAGGATCAGCGGGGCGGTCAGTCCCGGATAAAGGATTAAGTCAATGCAACTTGAAGTCTGTGGATTTGCTGCAAAGTCCATGC